CTTAGATGCTTATTAAGCTTTCAGCCCATGCCCTGTCCGTGTTCTATTTCCCTTCTAGAACATGCTTTCAGATGATCGTCGGCTGCGAGAGAAGTGGTCCCAAATTGCCGATGAACTCTGATTTGGTGGTCGCAAGGCCCAAAGTTATCGGAATAGTTATAGGAGCCCAAGGTTCCAAATATTAATTTCTAGCTTTGCTGAAAGTGGATCGCGCTTTTCCGGTGGCCAACTGAACCCGATCATGCGTTTCAAGGTGGGTTTATATGTACAGATAGTTAAACAAGGTTGTAATTTCCAGCTCCTACTCGAGCTTCCTAATTTCAATGAAACCTACCAGTTGCATACCAATGCTTCCTTTTTAAACCCTCATGTGCGAAAAGCTTCAGCCCTCACGGACTCGTGAGAAGTCGAGCCCCTACGAGTTACCGTTCCTGGTTGGTGACGGTTGTGGTAAAAATAAAAACACTACACATAGTCAATACGTATCGGAGGAGGCGTTCACCCCGTTCCCAGGCAGTTTGGACCGATACGGGAGGGGATGTGGTACGAGTGAAAATGACAGTTCTACGCCATCATTTTTGACGAGAAGCGATATAGATAACCCCTTTAAATTTCACAATATGAAACTGAGTTTATTATTTCTGATCCGATGGTCTTCCACGGTGTATGTGTATGTGTATGTGTATGTGTATGTGTATGTGTATGTGTATGTGTGTGTGTATGTGTGTATGTGTGTTTATAAAGGGAAGCCCAAACAATTCCCACCTGGGTATCAACCTGTCTGATGCAACGCAAGGAATCAGCGGCAAGCAGAAGATGCCGAAAATTGGACGAAATTACACCAAAAGAAAAAAAAAACCGAAATGGGGAATCTCCCCACCTTATCGTCCACATCCAACCTAGGAGAGACAAAAAGCCGAAGACAAACCCTCCCGAATGTCCTCACGCCCACACTAACTTCTTAATATCAAACATCAAATGCTCCAAATACCCCGTCCGCTTCTTCGCATCAGCCACCGAAATGATCTCCACCTCCTCAACCATCGAATGTCTGTCAACGTGTCCTGAACCGCCAGTGCTGGCAGCACCACTTTTATCCGATGCGCCCCGCATAACAGTGCGCTCAATCTCTTCACAGAGAGCACGCGCAGCGTCCCTTTCGCTAACCTGCACATTGTCAAGGGCGTTTCTGGCGGTCATGTTCGTCTGGGGGAGGATCTTGAACGCCATAAAGCGTGAGATGGGGCGTTTACTGCCACTCTCGCTTGGTTTGAACAGTGAGGAGATGTCCCAATCCGGGCCTGTGGTTGAGGTCGAGGTCGAAGTCGAAGTATTGTTCGGGGCGGGTTCTGAGGAGGAGGAGGAGGATTGTGATATCTGATCAAAGAGGCTTTGAAGGGAGTGCGTATTTACACGCATTGTATTTGTCGCGGCCGGTTGGTAAGTTACTACGACCCCGACATTGTGTTTTGGGTCCATTTGGACGTCAGTGAGGGTCGAGGTGATGTAAGTGCCGTAATTGATGCTGGTGATGGCGCGAAGATCGATGCGCTCGAAGGAAGTAACTTTGTCCGTATCCCAGTTGAAACGGCAGCAGTAGACGGCAGCATTCGTTAACAAAAGAACGGACTGTTCGAATGGTAATGAGCGCAATGTATTGGGCTCGTGGGGACTGGAAACTGTCCAGCCTCCCACGAGCTCCTCGGATTCATCGCTGATAACGATTTGACAACTGGTGTCGATGGCGTGCTGTCGTACCTTCTCGAGAGAAATCCCCGGATCAGCAGACATGAGGTTCATCTCGAACTCGTCGAAAACACGGGTTGTAACAATGCCGAGTAGGTAGTCGATACAAGCCTGGGAGAAGTAATCGTTGACTATATTGTTGAAGTAACGCGATAGAGTTAGTCCGAGGTCATTGAGCGCTCCGCGAACATCTCGTTTTCTTGTTCTGGTATAATCGCCTTTAAGGGCAGCCGTTGAGGAGTACTGTTTCGAGATGGCATCCCCGTTGTCCGCCCACAGCACGTTGAACCACTGCGTAGATGTGCTGTTCCGTAGGTCGATAGAGTAGCCTTCGCTTTCGAGCTGCTTCTCTAATGCTCGTTGTCCAAACGCACATTGTGCAACACCAGTACGATCCAGACAGTCCATACAATTTGTCCTGATAATGCCAGACTGGCTTTTCAACACAGTATTGTCCTGTATGACAGTATTGCCAAAACGATCTAGTGTTCCCGAGACTGAATCAACTAGGCGCTGGACGTTCTCGAACTTCATTCCCCGGCATTCCGCATGGAAGTCGAACCAGTCGAATCCAATTTTGGTAGAGTCCGCATTGTCGCGGTTATTATAAGTGTCCACGAAACTTTGGTATGTCTCCCCAATTTTAACTTCTACACCATGTTTATCTATGAGGCAGATGGCTTGAATTTCGCCATACCGCCTGCTAAGGTCACGGAAGTGCCGAGCGAACGACACTTGATTTGTTTCGATGGAGTGGCGAAGCACAGGTACGGGTTTGAAGTAGTAAGGAGACTGGGAAAAATACAGCGGCATTGACCCGCGAACCTGGAGAAGAGAATACACCTTGTCCGAGACGTTCCACGACGGCCTAGATAAGATTTGCTCCGTCTCAACGAAATTTGCGACATTGCCTTCGTCGTCTATTCCTCTTCGAAGATATCGAAGTCCCGGGCGTTTAACTGACCGACGCGAAATTAAAGTGAGAAGAAATTTGTCGCGTTCGTCCTCATTTTCTGTAGTAGGTATATTCGGTGTATTGGTATTTACGTCCACTTCTGGGGCAATCGTGGCATCTTGAGCTACTGGAGATTTCGTGGACTTCGTGACAGTGAATTCCTTCTGTCCAACAAACCCCTGTATCAGCGGAAGGACCAGTGAATGATGCCCGCTTTCAATAAATGGAGTCATCAAATATCGATTCCAGAAATACTACAGTCAAATTAGTGAAGCTCGAAAAGTAGGGTCAAAGGGAAAAGGTCCCATACTAAGGGATCTGCCATTCTATGTAACGGCACTGGCGTCATTTGAGGGTCATGGACACCAAATTTCCGAGTGATATCGTAATCATAGGAAAAATAAAAACTGCGTGAACTGAAAAATAGCTTCGTATAGCGTAGAAATTTCGGCATTAGTTCGTACGTTGCTGTTCCGGCTACTGGCGTGTCTATTTCTTGCGGAGCAGAAGAAGCTTTCTGCCCGGTGGAGGAGAGGTCGTCAAGCTCTAGAACTTCGTGTTTATAATCCCCGCTCTTTCTTCCTTTGACGGACCCTTCTGCTGCAGGGTCGATTATCTCTTCAAATCCACTTCCATGGGCCCGGTTATTCTCTCCCGGCCATCCATTTTTCGAAAACCAACGGGACGTGAACCTTCCATACCGTCCTCGCTTTTCAATGACGTCCTCAGCAATAGTGCTTCCTTTCCTACCCCTACTGCCCAACGGCGGGTATATTTCCCGGTCTGTTGAATCCGGGGCTTCTAGCTCTATATCGTCGCTACTGCGGCTAGTGGACAGGTCGGTCTCGCTCTCCGAAAACTGGGCTTCGAGATCATCGTTCGTGTCTTTATCCCTTTTGGAAGCTATCTGGGCTTGTGCCTGATTGATCGCTTTGGTCGCCTCAGCTTGAGACGAAAGGGGAATGATAGCTACACCTGTGATGGCAAAAATAGGTTTTCCAAGGATCTGAGCCACCTGCTGGCGCTGGGTAATGGATATTAAAAATGAGAATGACGCGAGAGAGAGTAGGCCTATTGGGTTAGGGAAAAACTGTCAGGTTTTCAAAAAGTCGATGGTATCCAGATTGAGATTACACACCAATTACCCCATGAGACTCTAAACAAGCGTCATCAGTGCTCGAGGTAGAGGGCGAGGAGTATATACGGCGAGTTTTGTATTCAATCTGCAGAGCAGTGGATGGGTTGCTCGAGGCACCGCGCTGTGTTGATGGGTAAGATTGAAGAATAAGCCCATCCACAGCAGCAAAAATCAACAACTTCCTGGCCAGCCCCGGCATTGTCTTGTCTTATTGCTGTAGCAACTCCTCTTTGCTGCATCAAGAAAGTTCTGATAGCCGCCGTTATCAGCCCGACTTCGAAGTCAATTGCAGGAAGGTTCGATTAGGGTTTAGTCGATCAGCTGATATGACGAATGAGGGGGTAGTTACACTAACTAGTTAGTTCAGAATAGGTAGTTATAGTGGAAGCTAGTTACCTCGGTACCTAGATACCATCGGCAAGCCGTGTCGCAGAAGCTTTAACTATCTGATCTGATGCAGTTCTATATAATACATGTAATAGTATCCCCTTTCTCATGCTACATCTTCACTCGCCAACTGCGCTTGACTCTTTAGAAACACTTACAGGATGCCTAAAAATAGTACTCGCGACAGGCTACTATTCGTTCTCATTACGAGACCGCTCATCGACAAGCTGATTTGCGGCTATGGATGCCCCGGAGCCCTGCCTGCTCAGTAAATCACGGAGCCAAGCGCACGGCAGAGAGAGAGGTTCAGGCTACGAAAGATACAATAGCCCTAGCCGGCCTTATACCTTACCATGGTTCTTGGTCCTCGTGAGATTTTGACGGCGGATACCTCCAATCGTGTTCTTGTGTCATGCTGCCATGTGATGCTGTCCATCGAAGCCCCATTCCGACTCGCACGCTCAAATTGGTTTTGGAGATTTAGCGAACGGAAGGATATAGGAATGTGAATGGCGATTTTCGGCGTGTCTGATAGCCCTCTGGAGGGCAAAGAACCGAAACGCTCTTAGCTACGCATAGTAGTCCCCTGCTGGATCAAAGCCGGGCTGCAACTACCTGTCGGTAGCACTTTCGGCCCGATGCATGCGAGATTCATCGATGCCAAGAAAAAAATCCCACCAGGGATATCAGCCTTAATTTTCACCACGCCTGAGAACAAAGTTTTAAGGTAAAAAGAGACTCCAGAGAGAGAGGGAAACGGCACAAAAAAAGTAAAGCCGAACGCGGGGGTCGAACCCGCAGCCTTGCGGTGTATCAATTGGATCGGATATTCGAATATTTGGTTCGAAAAGTCTCAACTCATATTAAGAGCCGCACGCTCTACCGATTGAGCTAGCCCGGCTTATTTGTGGGATACCGAGCAAAGCCCGAATGCTGAAATTCCAAATCGTAAATCTGGATGAATTTAAGTTTCTCACTATCCATGGCTCGTTCCCGCTCATCCACATAACAACATTTGGCAAGCTGACTTTGTATTGTTACCATTTGGTTGTAGACTTGACCATGTGGGAGAATCGGGAGTAGCACAGCTTGATGCTATCACTGCTTACGGAAGTGGTGTCAGATCAATGCTATTCAAATGAACGTCAGGTCTCTAAAATGTGGGTATAGATATTATTTAAAGAAAGGCTAGCAGCTAGTTTTAGAATTATCAAACATATGATGTAAAGAAAACACATTAAATTGTGAACAATCATGCAAGCCCGAGCTTCGCGGCTACTGACTTCCTCAGCACCGCCCATTTTCCATTGTGATTCTACCTTCCCA